TAATTTAACTTTCTGTTTCTGTTAATTGTTTTTCAGTTGTACGGTCAAAGTTAGTATCCATTTTCATTCATACGTTATGCTAAATTGCAAGTTAATATAAACACTTAAACCTAACTAGCTAGTTAATGAATTTAGCTTTTACACAAGGTGACCTGCAATTATAAATATACTAAAACCCAATTTAGTTACTTCAAAAATAGCGTACATGCTATAACTAATTAAAATATACTGACAATGAAAAATTCCTTCTACTATCTATATATACAAGTTAAATTCTCAAATAAATATAGGAGGTTATTCTCTTAGATATAGTGTATATACACCATCAGATTAACTCGACTTACAACGTATACTGTCTCTCTTCTATTTTATGTAACATTATTTCTTTATTAGTCCGTTAAAAAAAGAATGACATATTTTTTATAATTTTTTTAAGTATAAGCTTTATGTTTTACTTTAACAACGTACTTTTATAACAACAGAAATCTCATCAAATCCACACAACATTTCTTTCTTTCAAATTCCGTATTCAGTCAATAAGTCAAAAACTGCGATATGAACTAAAATAAAGGGAGTAAATAACTCTTTACAATAGATTCGATATGATAATCGAAAAATATAATATGTAATAACATGTCTTAACTATTTCTTTTTACAATATATTATAACTATTTAAAATGCACTATATTATAAAAATTCTATTATAAGTGTAGCTTATTTAACTTAAAAATGGAGTATAGACAATTGCAAGTCCAAAATAACATAACCACTTGGATCCACCTGGGCCCCACAATCCAGAAATATAAAATCAGTGGAAAAAAGCTCATCCCTTTACCGAACACCGGCTATTTCGGTAAAACTCCCCGCCTATAAATATCTCAAATCTTTCCCCGCTTGTTCCTCAGTCATCGTCATTCCTTCGACGACCACCGGATCTTCCCTTACACGGTTGTTCCGGCAATATAAATTCTCCATTTTACCCCTACTCTATTCCTCTAATTCCTTTTTTATCCTTTCTAATTTTTTCTATCCCTTTTTTCCTCATATTTTGCATGGCAGTAAGTTTTCTAAATCGGGAGGTATCAGATTTATGCCTTGGAAAACCGGCATTACGGCCTATAATTCCGGCGACCGCCACGTTAGCGGAGGCGATAGCGGTTTTGAAGAGAACCGGCGAGACTTATGCAAGCGTGTGGAAGGTTCTAGAAGAAGATGATTATTCTGTTGAATGCCGCTGTATAGGGAAGGTTTCAATGGTGGATGTGATTTGCTATTTATGTAAAGAGGAAAGTTTAATTGATTCTTCTAAGGTACTTGAGGTTCCTGTATCTAAGATTTTGACTAAAGGGGATAATATTGTTAGGCATTTGGAGCCCAATTCCAGGTTTGTGATATTTTTACATGGAATCCTACATTCCTACTACTTTTGTGTCATTTAATTTATATTTTATTATTAATTGGACAGCCAAATGTTCTTTTAATTTATCAAATACTCGCGACTTATATCACGTGTTCGAGCCGTAGAATCAACCACTAATACTTGCATCGGGTAGACCGACTACATTACACCTTCTTGGCAGAGGCGGAGGCCATGTATCGGCACCGGATTCAACTGAACCCAATACTTTTGGCGCGAAACATAAATTTATATGTAAAAATTCATTAATATCTTAAATAGCAATATGAACCTATAACTTAAATAGATTCAATGCTATAAAAATCTTAAAGGTTGAGCCCATAAAACTTAAATGTTAGATCTGCCTCTGCTCCTTGGGTGCGGCCCTTCCTTGGACCCTACGTGAATACGGGATGCTTTGTGTATCGGGTTGCCCTTTACTCGCGACATAGTGTGATGAAGTTTAAGAAAGAAATAAAAGATTTTTGAAACTTGCATCGCGAATATGCCCTCATGTCATAGTTTCTCGTTAAGGATAAAATAAGAAGTTTAAGTTAAATTAATTTCAAATTTAGAAAAGGGGTCATTTTTGTAGCGGACTATTGAAATAGTGTCACATAAACTGAAACGGAAAGAGTAGTTCTTAAATACTTTTAATTAGAAAATATCATGAATTTGTTGTCGTTGAACAGAATATCTAACTTTTGTTTAAATATTTTGAAGTTTTGAAGAGTCGATGACCAAATCACATAAAAATTAAATTAGTTGAAGAATTCACATTTCTTCCACTTGGTTGATTTGTCCCATGTCATGTACTCTCTTCTTGCATTTATTTAATTTAGTAGGATTTTACTATGATTACTGCTACTAATTGCTTTTAATTTTTTCTCTTCTGAGAATCGCTTTTCTTAGCTCGTTTATTAGTTTACTATTTTTGTTTTTGAAGTTTCTTGTTAAGAATATATGCAGTCTTCATCCTTTACTCTGAAATTTTGTGGCGGAGAGAATTTAAAAAATCTTTGCTTTTCTTTTTTGTGGTTCCAAATATGATATGAAGATTAAGGTGATTATTTTTAGGTAAGAGTTCCGAATTCTTGATGCTTGAACGTATGACTTAGTATTCCACAGAGGAAAGCTAATAAATATGGAGAGTGGATGTTCCAAAATAACAATGCTAAAGAATTTGTTGAAAAGGAACAATTTTTAGCTCACAAATCACAGTTTTTTCATCAAGTGGAAAACTTTCAGTCGGTGTATCAACGTGACATTTTATCGTCTTTTTTCCTTAACATATCAGCTACAAGTTCATTTCATGCAGCATCAAGTGGTTTTAATTTGTTTAATCCGCTGTCTTTTCATCTTTTCTTTGGCAGAGGGTCTATCGGAAACAGTTTCTCTGCCCTCCTAGGGTATGGATAAGGTTTGTGTACACATTATACTTCCGAGACCCCACTTATGAGAGTTGACTGGATTTGTTGTTGTTGATCCGCTGTCTTTGTCTTTTTATGGTTTAGATATGTAGTGTAGATGAACATCCTTTGGCACATGAGAGGCAACCACCTTTGAGGCTCTCTTAGGAAAGCATCTCGTATTTATATCAAATCAATCAATTACATGTGTCTATCATACGCAAATTTATCATTTAAATCGTGGTCAAATGACATGTATTCTCACTTTACTTTACAACCGCAAAGAGTATTGATTGATTTGGTGTAAACACCAGATGCGAATAAGTATTAACGCTCGCACGTCTCTACACATTTTGATTGATGCATTGAGGGACACTATTTATTAGTCAATACCAACTAATTGGAAATAAGATTTAGTCGGGTTAGATTCGTGTATGACAATGTCGGGATTAGTTTGAGTTTTGAGGAATTGCTAGATGGGTTTGGACTAGAATACCTCTGCTTATATTATGTTTTAATTTGTATTTGATTTTGGGAATTGAGTTGAATATTATGGTGAGAGAGTTTGTTCTTATTTTGATTATTCTTTTGCTTTCACAAACAAACAAAATAGAACAACTATGCAAGACAATAGTACAACCTGTGACAAACAGAAACCCTGCTTACTTTTAGAGAACCCTTTACTGTTGTTACTGCTAGTGCTTCTTTTCCTATATTTCCTTTAACCAAGGGTCTATTGGAAACAACCCCTCTATCTTTACAAGGCAGGAGTAAGGTCTGCATACACACTACCCTCCTCAGACCCCTCTTTTGGGATTACACTGTCTTTTTTGTTGTTGTAGTAGTGTAGATACGGCATTCAATAGAGGATTTATAGCCGATCCAACTAGCTTGAGATTGATGCGTAGTATGTTGATTGGTTTATTGCAGTGTGCTGTTATTGGTAGTCTGCTGAAATTTCTTTATTGTTTGTTCAGCTTGCTGGAAGCTATAGATCACATTCTTGAAGGTACACAGAACCTTGTTATACCGATTCACAACTACACAAATTCAAGGAGAAAGCCTTTGAGTAAATCATCCTCTTTGAAATCCACACATCATAATGGAGTTGAATACTGTTGGATAACACAGGAAGACGTTGTCCGCTTACTTCTCAATTCCATTGGAGTGTTCTCCCCTATGCCAACTTTTTCAATTGAATCGCTCAACATCATCGATCACAACATCTTGACTGTTCCTTACCATGACCCTGCAATCTCTGCTTTGGATTCAATCGCTCTAGCACATATTGAACAAACAGCAGTTGCAGTTGTCGATGATGACAACAGACTAATCGGGGAAATCTCCCCCTCTACTCTTGCCTACTGCGATGAATCTGTTGCAGCAGCGATCACGACTCTTTCAGCTGGTGATCTTATGGCATACATTGATTATGGTGGTCCTCCAGAGGACTTGGTTGAATTGGTGAAAATGAGATTACAAGAGAAAAAACTTGGCCTGATGCTAGAATTGATGGACAAAGAGTTTTCAGTGTCGTCTTCATCATCTTCAGCTTCTAGTTGTTCTTCTGATGATGAGTCGGGGTCGAGTAGAAATGGTTCCGGGCGATATTCTTCAGCAAGAAGGTCAGAGGCGATCACGTGTTATCCCGGGAGTTCATTGGTGGCTGTGTTGATTCAAGCGCTTGCGCATCGTGCGAGTTTCATTTGGGTCATTGATGAGGATCAAAATTTGGTTGGAGTTGTAACTTTTAAAGGAATTTTGAAAGTTTTTAGGGGTTTTGCGAATACAAGGTGTAAACCTGAAAGGGAGAATTTATCAACTCACTAGCTCAGCTTGTATCCATATAAGTAGAAGATTATATTGCAGACTATGTTACCAATTTTAATGATAAACCTTATCTTTGGATTTTCTGATACTTATTCTTTGTCTTGTTTGT